GTTGTGATTTAGTGAAAGAAGTAACTTTTTTAAGCTTTTGATTTATGATAATCTAATGACTTCCTTCCTGCACTGCTGTTAAATGGGTTGACTAATTAGGGCAAAAAAAAATACAGTTAACTATCTCTGTATTCATTGGAGATTTTAAGACTTTCAGTACTTGAAATTTAAAAGCAATACTAGACTTATACTAATATTTAAATCTGCACAATGTATTAATAGCAGAGGTACGATTCAGAAATATTTTTTTCAGAGAGCTTAATAATCACCTAGAAAACTCTAGCAGTGTCTAAAAAACAATGTACCCAGAGATGTGTCCTATCTTCTATAAGATGTCTAATCTACATATGGAAGGCACTTGTGGAAATACAAGTAACTCTATAAATTTAATTCTTATATTACTTGTTATTGTGGCAAATACTCTAAGGACTTGCACAGCTAAAGGCTTTTCCAAAACTTCCCTCTAATGATTATATTTTCTATAACATTACTTTGTCTAATTTCAGAATGCTGATGGTTCCTATAAGACAATGGAATGCATGTTTCAAGAGGGCAGAGCCTCTGACAGGCATTTTTTCTACTGTATTCCCAGTACCTGAAAGTAGTTGTAAGAGTGGAAGTAGAAGGACCAGGTCGGGGGCTACTTTATAAAATTGATAAAGGGCGATTGTGCAAAGTACAAGAGAAAGAATGATCCTTGACTTTCAGTTTTTTTATTTCTTATATCCAGCGATTAATTTATTTTTTTCGATAAAAAGAAGATAGAATTTCTATTCACTGAGTAGATTCTTGGCTGTTTGAATCTGGGATTTGGGGATAGGTGCCAGGGTGAGATGCAAATTCGAAAATACCCTGTGCATGGATTGTATAAAAACTAGAATATTGGATGCAATGACAAAAGCAGTGTTTAAGGTAGGGAAAAGGGGAATTTTAAGAATTTAGCCCCAGAATACTCCCAGCAAAATAACCCTCAAATTTCTAGTAAGATGAATGAGAATTGGGCATAGTATTCAGACATATGGAGGTCATAAATTACTTTAAGAGGAGAGGTTAGGTATTTTATGAGAGAAACTCAATTAGAATGTATTCAGAGAGCAGTGGATGATAAGAATCAGATATAATGACTCCAAATACTTTTGGAGACTTTTATAATAAAAAAGAGAAGAGAGGCTGGCAGTAATTGGTGAGGAAAGTGAGTTTATGAAATTTTTAGCATGGTCGAATTCATTTATAAATAAACATTATGTGGAGTTTAGGAAAAATATATTTCCATTCATGAAATTTTTGATTCTACTCAAATGTATTCATAAAAATCAGCATAATTCTAATTCGACATTCATATATATATATATATATAGAGAGAGAGAGAGAGAGAGAGAGAGAGAGAGAGAGAGGGAGGGAGGGAGACAAACTCATTAGTAATAGACAAAACTTCAAGCCCTCCCTCTAAAAGCAGTGTCTCGGGCTATTAAAGGCCGTGGGTTTTGAGTTAGAGTTGCATTCAAGATTTGACCTTGGTACTTTATAAAGAAGCTGAACAATAATTCACCTCATGTAGATGCTTTATAGGCTCCAAGTATTCTTTTTATCTGTCAATTAATTTTCAAGCAACCATTGTAAGATAGGTGCTATTATCAAGTCTCTTAATGGGAATATTGAGATGCAGAAAGGTATGAAAATTGTCCTCTAAATCAAGGATCCTACCTAGTAAGACTGATTTTGTAAGTTTAGCCATTGTGTTGGACTCAGGTTTGCCCAACCCCTGCATTACAATCAGTGGTTGCTGTAACTGATCTGCACCCCCTCACCAAAATTAGCAGCATGCTTATACACCACTTCAAGGAAAAAGCTACTCCATTTAATTTTTTTAGTTTAATACTTATTAGTTCCACAGAAGCTTCAATAAAGGTTGAAACCATAACCAGCATGACTCCTAAATTTTGTTGAATCAAAGTGTGTAAAGTTCAGGCAATGTAGTCTTGTGAGAGTGAGAAAGCAATCTATAAAGTATGAATAACCTTTGAATAATATTTGTTCAGTAAGTCATATCACAGATAAACAATCGAAGTTAGGTTTCTTGGATGCATGAAAATTTTTCTCTCAGGAATATCTTTCTATTGGAAAAAATTACTTTGGAAATAATCTTGCCTATGGACAATCTCTGCTCCCATGTCCTATTGTCTCAGGCTGTAACTATCCTTAAATCAGATGTTAAATCTTCTCAGGCTGTAACCACCCAAAATCAGGTGTTGTTACTGACCTAGAGAGTATTTTTTCTTTCTATGTGTAGTTCATTGCTGAAAAAACAATGAATTTCTTGCATTCTCATTCCATTAACTTGCTGAATGTCTCCTCCGTAGTATGCTGTCTAACTTGCTGTTGTCTGACCCTGGAGCTCTTCAGTCGTTCTAGGGGAAGACTCCCTGAATAAGAGGTTACGTGCATCTTTGTAACCCTACTGCTTCCAATTATACATATCTTAATTAGGTTCACAATCTACCCTTTCCTTGATAACCAGAAGTTGGAAATCACCACATAGGGTAACTATATTTAGTTCTCTCTCTTAATCTCTCTCTCTCTCTCAAATTTTGGAGTTAAACAAGATCATATTTCCACCACTTTCTGGCTTTTTATCTGAGAAAGTACTTAATTTCTGAGCTTCGGTATTTTATCTAGAAAACGAATATGATAATACTTTGATGAATGTTGTAAGAACTAAAATTTATGTGGATAAAAGCAGTGAGTAGAAGTATAAGAGAGTAAAGGAGAATTTCAAAACCTTTGTATGTTAAATGATATCCTTATAAAATATTTTGTGGTGAGCATTAGATTAGATAGTATCTGCAAAATTCAGATTGCAATACAGGAGCTTTCTTGAGTAGATATTTAGAAATTATATTTCTTTATGTACAATGCATAATGTATTTTAGATGTGGAATATATGGATTGTGATATCAATGTATATAGTGTTTTTAATACTGCTATGACTAATATTTTTCTGAAAATAAATAAATATGGCAGAGGTATAGAAAATTGTCAAAAGGATAGAAAAAGGACTAGGATCAAAATCCACTTCAAAGCCAAAAGAAAGCATTAATTATATAAATGAATCTGTATTAAATAAAATGCTACTATATACAAACAAGAAGACCCATTGATTAAAAACCAGGACTAAATATGCAAAAAATTTCTCTACAACAATCAGAGCAATCTAGAAGGTTTTTTTTTTTTTTTGGTACTGGGGATCAAACTCAGGTCCTTGTGCTTGCGAGGCAGGCGGTGGAACCACTGAGCTAAATCCCTAGCCCTAGAAGGTAATTTAATAATATTATATATTATTATTTCCAAGAGAAATGTAAATACTCTTATTTGGTTCTTGCTTATTGCTTGATATATACTTAATTATTAATATTGTGTAATTACCAGGAATAAACTACTTCAATGGCTCTCAAAATGATAATGCCTTTCTATCAAATAGGTACATTCAATCTTTGTATATGAGGACATAAGTGTCTATTTTTAACCAAGAACCCAGTCAATAATCATCTATAGTATGTAATGAGACATTTTTTTACCTGTGAAGAACTTGTCTTACTTGTGGACACCAGAGACAAAGTAGAGGGTAAAGAGATAAACTTGGCCTTAAACATTGGTCTCTGAATAACACTGAGTTCTAACACATGGGCCATGTATCTTAGTATAGAAAATTGTTTTAAAATATAATAATACTGGTTGTTTAAAACCACTTTACTCTTTATTCTTTCTGAGAATATACCTAAAACATAAAATTTTTATTTAATGCAGCTATTGAAAAATGCTTAAAATGAATTTTTAGGTGTAATTAAATCCAACTCATTAACCTCTATTTTTCTTTATCTGCTCTAGAAGCATAGTAACTATATTCCTCAAAAAATTTTGTTGTCATTGTAACTTAATCTCTGAAATATAAATTTAATATTGTATAATTTTTTTGGTAAATTGACATAAACATTATTTTAAAAATATATAGTATGCAGAATGTAATATTATTTCCAAATAAATTTACTCAAAGAAATAGAAAAGGAGAAAACTATAGGTTTTTACAAATTAAGTAGTTTAATTATTGGACTAAATTTCTTGATACCTTTTATTTCTCTGTAGTAAAATGTAACAGTCCACAATTAATAAAACAATAATGATAACTTTCACGGGCAAAATTCTTGAAATTGCAGATGAAATTAAAATTGTTAAACCAATAATAGCCATCTTTGAAGTCCTGATTCAATATTTATTTTGAAAGAAACATATAAATAAAACTTTGTAGGAATTAATACTTTGTAAATAGGTAAATATAACTTTGGTGGCTCAAAGTTTGATCAAGTAATAATGGGTTTTTCGCATAAAAACTTTCTGGAAAACCTATTTTTATAATACTGGGTCAAAAAGATCATTGTTGGCATCCATGTACATATCACTTCCAAGACCATATGAAGTGGGTATCTTATGGACAATATATACTTAGATAATTATGTTGGCACTTCAAAATTTAGTGAACTATGAGAGCAATTGGATTTTAATGATTCAGACAAGTAAAAAATGAAATGATTAATTGAATTATACATTGCTTAAGATAATTATTTAAAATAGTCTAGATAATCTGAAGAGATCATGGATTTAAAATAAAAATTACTAGTAAAATTATCTTTATTTCTTATAGAGAGAAATAAATATGGAGATAAATCTTATTATACATTTAGTCAAAATTCTGAGTCTAATTACTTGAAAATAGAGGGAACAAAATTGTCTTTATGGGAAAATATATTCACATAGATTTAAAAATTAATAATATTAACCCCTTTTAATAGTTACATTCAATATCTACTAATTGAAAATTTAATGAAAATAAATCAAATCATCAGTAATTCCTGTTGAAAATGTCAAGTAACACACACAAAATTTTATAAATAATACTTAAATCTGCAAAGACTGGAACAATTTATAGAAATAACCATTGTACTTACATAGTCCCCACAAAACATTTTGATAAAAATGAGTAACTTCAGTGCAGATCACAAGATTTTCTGTGAGTGAACAATACAGTTTTTCTCTGGGAAGCAAGAGAGAATTGAGGTTCACTGTTCAATCAAAATGAAATATGTCTGCCTATTCACTTCAGTCTCTCAGGCTAGAAAAGGTAGGGCCAATTCTGGATACAGCATGACTCAAGGTACAGTATTCATACTTAGTTATCAATCATAGGTAAATAGGCAGAATTATTGCACAAAACAAATAGAACCATTAGCCTAGTCCCTGGTTGTACGTTGATTTGAGAAATGTACATTAGCCAAACAGTGAAAGAAATGTAACCTTTTGAAAAAGCTGATGACTCATGGAAAGGTAAGTTGGTAACCACAAAGTTAATGATTTATTTTCTGTTTAATTATTGTTAACATACAGACTTTTGTGGTGTTTCAGCCCTAGTTTCATATATTAGGTTGCTAGATTTTGTGTGCACTGATACTGTTCTCTAAATATTTCAACTATGGTATTGTAGATCTGGTTTTCTGTGAAAGCTAAACATATTTAGGACAGAAGTGATTATCCAGTAATAAAAGTCTTTGGGGGAATATACTGTATTTGCCATTATTTTTTCACATTTTATTTTTTTAAGTCTATTATATTTGATTTTATTAAAAACTCTAAAAAATTTAATAATAATATTACCACTTAATTTTCTTGATTATTTTGAAGTCTCTTGGACTTTGGAAATCTTGGACTTTTTAGAAAGGAGTGATATGTAGACAGAAATACAGACACTTTCAGAACATGTTTGAAAATAAGTTTTAAACAGAATTGGAGCAGCACATCAATATTTAAAAGGGAGAGTAGTTAATTTTAATGAATGGAGCTGGTTTTCCAAAATCCTAAAAATTATGTCCCCAAATGCAATGAAGGCCATTCTGGCCTACAACCACATATAAGTCAATGTTCTTCTTAGAATGAGAATCTAAGTATTTTGTGGATATTGACAACAGTGAAGTAAGCATCTCCTGAGCCATTAAAAGTGTAAGACTTAATGATTGTGTTAATAATTTTATTATGTGATTTGGTTACTATGAAATTCATGTTTTGTTATGTCCATCTAAATCTAGTAACTATAAGGTTGAAACACAAGTTAGAAAATAATATGTATGATCAACAGATAATGAATATGGAAAGCACATACAAAAGAAATATTATTTTGATTGGGTATAATTTTAATTTGTGACAGCAAATATTAAATGCATGACAATTGGTTTTGACAATCTTTGTGAGTTTCTACTCTCTTGAAGGTCTATTTTTTACCCCCATTTTCATCAAACTGCTAACTTCCACATGCTTCCACTCTTCTTTTGATTTTCAGCTGATACCTCTCATGTTGTTTCATTGAGAATATACGAATTAATCCAAACAGGCATTTTCTCCATCCTTTCATTCTGTGGATTTGCACCTTTATTTTCTTCCTACCCTTCCATTCTCTCATTCCAGTACCACTGCTTCTAATTTAGGTTTCCTTCCTATCTATATCAAGACATTTGAGTCAGGTGTTCTCTCCCATCCAAGGACTTCATTCCTGAAATTATCCCATTGCCATTTATTATGATGATTTTATTGTCAGATTATTTCCATTTGCCCCAAATCATGTTATAGCAGTTCCCATTTTCAAAAAGCAAGTAATCATTGATAATTTGAAATAGGAAAAGGTCCAAAGGTGTAGGGGTGGTGGGAGAGGAAGGGGAAAGGAAAGAAGGAAAAGGAAAAATCATGAGAAAAGAAAAAAAATGGAAATGAAGTCTATGTAAATAGGGAAGGGTGGAGGCAGTAAAGGGAGCACAGGGAATGGGGAAAAAAATAACCAAGATACATCATGTACAGGTACAAGCACCCAATGATAAATGTAAATGTACTGTATACCTAAAATGCACCAATAAAAGAATTTTTTTTTTTAAAAGCAAGTAATCAAGCTAACAGACTGACAAATTTCCTTGACTCCACATTCACCACCAGCTACAACTCAATTTATCTTTTTCTTTACTTAGGGGAAGCTCCTGCAAATAGGTATCCTGATGCCCCTCTCTACCTGACGATTCTTGCTTCATCCTATTTCAACCAAGGTTTTCTTCCATAACACTAAAGCTCTGCTGTCACAAATATGACCACCTTTGCAAATAGAATGGCTAGTTCTTTGTTATAATTTGATGTAGTTGTCTCCTTTCTTGCTGACACACTTTTTCTGAAGCACTATTGTCTCTTAGTTTTACTTTGATTTTATTGGTCACCTGCACTATAAATTCCACTTACAGTACTATCTCTGCTTTATCCTGGTTTCTTTTCTTTATGTTTCCACTAATGCAAATTGCATTTTTTGTCTTTTTAAAATATGTCTCTATCAGTAGGATAAGCTCGATAAGGACAAAAAATTCCTTAGTCTTATTTGGCATAATAATCACAGTACATTCAATATTCTAAAATGTGAAAAAATATTCAGCAAATGTCTTTGTATGATTCAATTTGATCTTTTAAAAATTTGAAGCCATCCTCTGTTGTAATTCAACTTCTGAAATGCATAACAGATCATCTGTTAGTTATAGGACCAGTGTACCAGAATTTGTGTTATTTTGAGTTTCTTTCCAAGAAGTTCAGAAAATGTTATTATTGGTTAAACTAGCTAATAATTTCTCTAACCTCACTCTTGGTGTAGTTCAAGGCTCTGTCTGAACCAAAATAGCAAAGATTTTATTTCCCAAGTTATGTTATCATTTACAATACTAGATTTTTTAATTAAGTTTATTTGTACATTTTAGCTATATAATACAGTTACATTCATCATTGGGATCTTGTACTACAACACTAGATTTTTACTGTATCTATCATACTTTATTATATCTACTGTCCTACTCAGATATCCCTATTATTCTTTATGGATTTGTTAAAATAAAAAGCAATTTGTAAGATGAACCTGCATATAATACACAATGGATATCCATCCATGTTTTATGTAAATGAGCTAAATATGATTTTTAAAATTATCTTTTTTTCTGCACATTGGACATACAGTTGTATTCTAAAGTCCATTTAAGATTCATCATAATTGAAAATTTGCACTGACCCTTTTCATATTGAGGAAACAAAAGTCATGAATATAAATAACCCATTTCAATTATTGTTAAAATCATATTTCCAAATCCTTTTATAGAAGAAATTTAATTAAAAGTCCAAGAAAAAACTCAGTATATAATTATTTTCATCATTTTGAAAATTAAATTTTAGAATACTAGTCATATATTAATTTTAAAGAATTCATACTCCTAGAAGAATAATTTTTATGTAATTCAAGGAGATTGGAAATCAGAGAATCATTATTATTAAAGAAAAGAAAGTATATGTGCTGCTAAATTAGTTTCTTCTGAATATTAATACTTAGATGATGTAATAGTAAAAGCAAAGTCTATTAAAGAACAATATCAAATGTTTCTAGGTCTTATTTAATTTTGGGTTTATAAATACATTTTTCTTGTTTTTAAATAAAGTACAATATTATATATTTATTCATCTTTAATATTATTAATTTGGTAATAGGAAAAAGTGGTCTTATGGAGCAAATGTGGCCATAAGCAGAGCTTTAAATTTTATTGAACATTTCCTTAAATCAGTAAAGAAAATTCACATAATAATTCAAAAATATTGTTTTCAATATGAACATATCCTAATCTTATTAATTAAAATAAATACATTTTATTTAAATAAAATATTCCATTAAGAGGTGTGACTGTAAGGTAATAAAAAACAGAATTTGTATAGCCAATTGTTTGTGTTCATTTTCTTAAAAAATTATACATAAACTATTGTGATGATGCCATTGTTACAAGGATAAAAAATACTTTTAAGAACTGTAGTGCTTTAAAGTATCTTGGTGCCAGCTCTGATCTGATAGTTTAAGTAAATACCCTACACTTGTAATTTAATAAAGAAAGTTTTCTTTTTTCTCGTAGTTTCAGTGGGTTTAGTCCATGGTAGGTGATCCCCAACGTAGACCATGTGGTAGAAAAGTCAAGTGGAAGATAGTTGTTCATTACATGGTGGCCAGGAAGCAAATAAAGAAGGTAGGAGTTGGGGATAAGAATACAGCCTTCCAAATCAGGCCCTCAGTAACCTGCCTCTCTCAAACAGGCCCATCTCCAAATGAGATCTTTGGGGACTATTTTACATCTAACCCATAATATTCCTCTAAACAACTCTATAAAGCATCTGTCATCAACATTCCATAATTCAATTGATTTTTGCACAAAGTAAAAATTAATTTCAGATAATTGAAAAGACTCATGAATTCACAGAACATTTCTGCATAAAATTTTCAACAAATGAAGCATGCAGTGCAGTAGGAGAAAGCAAATTCAGGTAAACCTAAATGACCTTTTTCTCAAAGTCCATTTAATTGAGACAAAATACATTTCTTCTATAGTGTGAACTCTCAGAGTATTTAAAATAGCTCTTTTAAGGAAACTTAGTGAATTTCAAGAAAACACAGAGAAACAATTCAGTGCCTCATCAAAAATACTTAACAAAGACACTTAACAAAGCAATTTAAAAAATAAAACAGAAATTCTTCACCTGAAAAGTGTGCAAAGTAAAATTAAAAATACAATAGAAGTCAAAAATAGCAGACTAGATCAAATAGAGGAAAGTATTAACAAGCAAAAGACAGAAGATGTGAGTAAATATAGTTGGAGGAGAAAAAGCAAAAATAAAGAGGAAAGAAGAATTTTTGTAGGAAGTTTGAGACATTATTAAAAGAGTAAATATTAGGATTACTGGTTCTACAGGAATTTGAGAATGCCTAAGGGGTAGAAAGTTATTCAAAGAGACAATCACAGAAAAGTTCTTCCATGTCTAGATAAGGACACAAATGTCCTGGTGCAGGAAAGACAAAGATCCCTGGTCATTTTAAAGTCAAACAACTCTACACCAAGACAAGTATAATTAAGCTGTCATAGTTTAAAGACTAAAAGAAGGTTCTCAAACCATAAAATAATTTGTAAAAATGAGTGTTCCAATTCACCTGACACCAGATACCTTATTGATCAGGTGTGAGGTGAAGTTTTCACAGTGCTAAAGGAGAAAACAGTCTGTCAACCATGACTACAGTACCAAGTACAGTTACCTTGTAGAAATGGAGTCAAAAATATTCCCAGAGAAACAGAAATGAATAGGCTACACCTCCACATGATCTGTTCTATAAGAAATGCTAAAAGGAGTGCTTCAAACTGAAAAAAAAAAAAAAGAAATGGTAACAAGAAG